AGATGACTACTGTCATGCCACAAACATGAAAAATAATTGTTTTGGGATTTCCAAAACAAAACTGATGGTCTGAAACAGTGTTTTGAAATGAAGCAATGTTTTATATATTACTATTTAAAGAAAAATAATTTTAAAAAGATGTGTGAAGAAAATAAGAAGAGTATTAGAAAGATATCTGGCCTTAGACATCGTAATGTAATAAATAATACACCAAAAAGTATTACAAGTTTGGTAGCTACCCTTCGGGAAAAGACAATGAGATTCCGCAAATCGCAGGCTTGGCTTAATTTTCTTAAAAGCTATATTTAATTATTGCTCGCAATTTTATAACTTATGGATATTTAAAGCTAGATAAGGTTAAATTTTATCAACAAAAAAGGTTTTATTTGTTTCCATTTTTTTAATTTTGTTACGGTTTTTAATGAAAGTGCACGTTTTATACCTGTTTTTGTATAGGTTAAGAGCTATCTTTGGCTGTTATATAATTTTTGATTGCGGTTTTACTTCCTTCTAATAAAGTACTAATTTTACTATAGCTTTTACCTGATATGTAAAAAATACCTATAATTTCTTTTTCAAGATAAATTAAATTTTTTTCTTTGCTTACAGGGCTAAAATTATTTTTTTTAAAAAGTTTTAAAACATACTAAGTGTATACAGTTTACAGACATTAATATTTCAAAATATCAAACTAAATAAATAATATATACAAGCCGCATTAATTTTAACATATGTTTCTAATCATAATTTTGAGTATAAATTTTTTTACGTTTAATTTAAAATTAAATTATTTATTTCTAAATCCTCTATAGTAATGTAAAGTCTAATTGTAAAACTAAAGAACTATAATTACATAAAAGAAAAACATTTTGTTTATTTAAATTTATATTTTATGCTGAATTTCGGCATCGGTCTTAACGTTTTGGCGCGAATTTTTATTGAAAAAAATCAAAAATTCATAACTGACCTATTTTTATGCTGATTGAAAAAAATACAAATAAATATAGTTATGTAACCTTTATTTGAACTTGATTTATTAGTTCATCTTTTTTATTCGATGTTTATTGTGTTGGAAAAAAGTATCTTTTTGCCGGTCTTAACGTTTTGACGCAGCGTATAACATAAAATCTTCGCTGCAAATGGTTTTCTCAAATTTTTGCAAATATTTTAATGCACCATCTTAGTTGTATATTAAGTCGTTATGAATAATCCTTTTCTTGTGTATTTACCTAATTCATTAAAGAATTTTTTTTTATGTCTTTTCAATTCATCTTTAGAACCACTTAAATATATGATGTAAATGTTTAAATTTTCAGCGAGACCTTCTTCGTAATCATAAATACTTAAGTAATTGTATTGCGTGATTTTATATAATTCTTGCATAATCTTCATACTGTCGTAACCATGTATTGCTTAAATAACGTAAAATTTTATTTTATCTAAACCATATTTAAACACTTCTAAGATAAATCAATTTCTCTCCAATTAATTGTCTTAATATTAACAATATAGTATTTTCTTTTCACTTGTAGGAAAATCAATTTTTTCAAATTCATCAAACCACTTTATAATATTTATTCCACGAATATCCTCTATAAAAACTATTTTTTTATCACAGATATAAATGTTTCTTCAGTTGTAAATTCTCTTAACATTTTATATAATAAATACCATATTGGTGATATGCTTTCTCTTTGGGACTTACTTTCTTTTAGCTTAAAATATCATGCTCATGAGGATAGACCCCATTTTTAAAGTATTTTTCTAGCATACTTTGAATACCATTATACTAAAATTTATTAAATCCTTTTTGCCCAAATTCGGTTCCGGGACTGTCTCTGTTTACTTTACCATAAACATCATAATTTTTCATTTTTCCTTACTTTTAT